CATTGCATCCCTAATGGTATAATGAGCATAAATCACATGTCACCTGAACTGATGCATTATAATACACCCTTCATCTGTGACAAATTCTAGAATTTGTACCCATCAAGCTTTTAGAGATATTTTCTAGTTTTCCGGAAATACAGCTAAATCCAGCAAAGTGACACCATAAGGAAGCAACCACACAAATCCAGAAAGTGAAATATTTTTATGGGCAACTTGCTCATCAGTAAATCAGGGTCATGAAAAAAGACTGTTTGAGAAAAGAAACAAAGAGAAATAACTACATGCAACGGGCAGTCCTAGAGTGGATTCTGGTTCATCAAAGGACATTGTGGAACCAACTAGTGAAACCTGAATATCAGTGGATATAAGATCACATTAAGTATGCATAATTTTATTTTATTTTTAAAGTTTTGCCCTTTTTTCCCCCCTAAACATTTATTTATTTATACAAGCACTGGGTATAGTCAGAGGCATGGGAGGGTGAGAGAATTCACCAGAGCGGAGAGTAGAACAGGCAGAGTAACGAAGTACACTGCTGAGGGGAGCAGCGGGCGGCAGGAGAGGTCTGCGCGCCATGTGGGACCCTCACCCGGCAGCCGGGGTTCGAACCAGTGCTGTAGAGACTGCGGGCAGCTTCGCAACCCAGCGCTCAACCGCTGCGCCACCGGGGAGGCCCAAGTGTGCATAATTTTAACTTTAAGTGTGGTGATGTTAGTAGCTCAGAGTGGGGTGCAGCTCAAACCAAGCCTAGAACTAAGTGTGGTCCATGAACAAGCAACATTGGTATCATCTAGGAGCTTGTTAGAAAGGTGGAGTCTTAATCACTACACCAGACCTACTGGGTGATAGTCATCTAGACCCCTGCGCTCTGAAATTTGAGAAGCATCTTTATAGTGAATGTATCTTGCTATGTGGAAAGCCAAAATGTTGTTACAGGGGTGTTGCTGCTTCTGCCACCAGCTCCCGCTGCACTGATGTGCTCTATTTCATCCCCAAATGGGCTGGGGCCTACAGGACTCAGCTTCCACTTTCTCTCTCTTTCCCCCTCAACCTTCCCATCTTATAGCTGCTCTCACAAGCTCCCAATTTTCGACTTGAGTCCTGCAAGGGAATCTAGTCAGGAGAGGTGGTATTATACTCCGAGAGGTGAAGCAGTGACCCACAAAACATGCATAATTCTCTGGGGGGGGGGGTGTAAGGGAACAGTCAGCGTCCTCTGTGATTCATTTCTGTCATATCCCTTCCTTCCCAGGTTTAGCTTAGTGCAGAGTGATTTCTCCAAGTCTGCTCTTAATCTTTTCCACGACCTTCCCACACTGGTGTATTGGTTTAAATAGTGTCCATCCCCAAAGTTCATATCCACCCAGAACCTCAGAATGTGACCATATTTGGAAAGAAGGTCTTTGCAGATGTAATCAAGATGAGCCCATACTAGAGAAGAGTGAGCCCTAAATGCATATGAGTGGAGTTGTGAGCAGTGGGAAATTTGGACATAGGCAAACGGGGAATGCCTGATGATGGTGTGATGTGTTTACAAACCAAGGCGTGACAAGAATTGCTAGCAACCACCAGAAGCTAGGGAGAAGAAGGAAGAATCCCCCCCAAAACCTTCAGAATCTGGCAGACACCCTGAATTCAAATTTCTAGCTCCCAAACTGCAAGCATAATTTTCTGTTGTTTTAAGTCACCCAGTTTATGTTGTAACTTTGTTATAATAGCCCTAGAAACTAATACACTAGCCAATTCTGCCATCCTAAATTCAAAAGAAATATTATGACTATTATTTCATATTTATCAAGTGTTTATTACATCCAAGGCACTGGACTAAGTACTTTACATGCAATTATTTAATCCTCAAACAATCCTATAGATTAGGTAACTTTATTCTGCATTCCACAGATTAGAAAATTGAAGCTAAGGGAAATCGAATACCTTGTATGCATTTATAAAGTTAGTGTTAAAGCAGAATTTAATGCACCTGTCTGATCCCACAGCCTATACACTTAATCCCCATGCCATGAAGGTCAAGATGAAAATAGAATCATATTTGGCCAAGATTTTTCAATGGTGTGTGTCATTTCTCATATGGATTTGTACCATTTCTAGCCAGAGGCAGCAAAAGCCAGGACCCTGAAAAACTGGGGACCCAGGGACACTCAGAAGGCCACGACTGTTGGGATTTCCAGTTACCCTATCTATCACAGAAGTGGCATTTTTATTCTCACTTACTGGTGACTCTTCATTGTGTCTGAATACAGCTCACATCACAAGTGAACCTAAAATAGCTTGCATTCAGTTCTATCCCATTATATACTCAAAATACTCAGTCTTTTATTCTCATTAGGACAGAGACAAAGCCAAAAAATATGATCCAAAATATACATTACTGTTGCCTAGGTGAAAAATGCCTGAGTTAAATGATCATTAGCCGCCTGCACTGCTGAAAGCCAGAAAAGCTCGGTAGAAAATGCACCGATATTTTTACTCAATTGCCTCATTGATGTTCCTGCAAAAACCAGACAAACGTTTATCATTATCATGAGGTTCATCTGGAGCAAGAGACAGCCAAGGAACAGGTCAAAGTCCCCGCTGAGTGATTACTGACTTACATGTAAATGTAATGTTCCAGTTGTCTCAGTATCTTATGAGAATTCTGGGCTTTTGAATTGCTACCATGTACTATCTAAATAACCAGTAAACTTACAAGAATCCTAAAAATGATTAGAATGGTTTTAGGATAGAAATGGTGTTTTTATTTTTAGAGGCTAGAAATATTTGGTTCTGTCTTTATTTTTTTTTCCATTTTAATAAATACCTTATTGACCTCAAGTTCCCAAGCTTGCTCCATATTGCTTCAACTCCTGTTGTCTCACATAGCCTGGGGTGGGAAGGGATGGGGGTACAGGGGAGCATGTGGGATACTAGAGTCCATCCTCAGCTATGTTACATTTTCTTTATTTCTTTTCTCTTACAAAGAGCTTCAGAGTTTCAAAGGTATTATTTGATTTTCACAATACTAATAAGCATTGGACAGAAAAGGCATTACTGTGGTGGCCCCTTGTGAAAAGAGCTAATTTTGAGATTCCAGCAAGCAGGCATCAGGACTCAGCTACCCTTCGCCAAAGGGAAGGCAGACTCCATTCCACCCAAGGGCCTTGGGAGGGCCTGATATCAGGAGCAAAGGGACTCCCACTTAGCCAGTCAGATCAATGGAGACAATCCTGGCAACGAGTTCAGTAACAGATGCTCTGGCCAGATGGCCCTCCCATTCATTTTACACATGAGGAAACTGAGGCCCATTCACTGGACAGATTCATCTGACAAATATTTATTGAACACTGTGCTTGGGATACAGTTCAAGAGTTGCATTCTAGCAAGGCAAGGAGACAATAACCAAATAGATAATTTCTCCAAAGAAAAATCAAAGTAAGGGGTTTGAGAGTGATAGGGCACTGCTTTAGATAAAGCAGTCAAGAAAATCTCTAAGGTGCCATTCAAGCAGCTTCCCTGATGACAGTGAGAGAGTTAGCTCGTGGCCATCCTGGGCAAGCATATTCTGGTTAGAAGGAGGCCAGTGTGGCTGAGCAGAGAAGAGGGAGGGACACACCGAAGCAGATAAGGTCAATCACATGGAGGGAAGGACTGGGGCAGCCAAAATAATGTGGGGCCTCAGAGACCATGATATAAATTGTTGCATTCTAAATGCAATGGGAAACTACTGGACAAGACAGTGACATAATCTGAATTGCATTTTTAAAAACTCACTCTACCTGCTGTGCTGAGAACAGGTTGTCAACAGGCCAAGAGTAAAAGCAGGGGTACTGATCCAAGCAAGAGATGATGGTCACTTGGATAGGCGGTGGTGATGTGAAGATAGAATACATTTCTAAGGGAAAGCTCAGAGGATAACTGAAAGATTAGGATGGAAGTGTGAGAGAAAGAGAAGAATCAGGGATGACTCCAGTTTGGGGCCTGAAGAACCAAGTAGATTATAATCCCATCAACATAGATCAGAGGTGAGCAAACTGTTTCTATAAAGGGCCAGATGGCAAACATCTTCTGCTTTACAGCCCAGGCAGGCTCTGTTGCAATGACTCGCCTCTGCTGTTGGAGTATAAAAACTACCATTGTTAATAAGTAAATGAATGGGTATGGCTGTGTTCCACTAAAACTTTATTACAAAAATAGATTTGCTCCTGATTACACAACTGATACAGAGCCAAGAAGAGAACTGAGATCTGCTGATCCCCACTCTGGTGTTCTTTCTACTATTCAGACTCTCCTAATAAAACTGCTCCTGCCACGACAGAATGCGGGAATCACAGTGTGGAAGGCAGCACGTTTTTGTGCCGCCAGACCCTCAGTGAATACTGTCCCCTGGGCATCTCCAGATGTCAGTGGAGAGACTTCAGCCATGCACATCCCAGAAAGATGGCAGAGTCTCCTATTATACCCCTATCCTATTGGAAGTAGTATTTTTTTATCCACACAATGTTTTTAATCTGTATTCAGCTATAAGCAAGTAGCACAATGAACACAGCATTCAGCAGCCACCCATCAGCTTTTCTTAGACCAGTGGAGAGTGATCAACAGGCACGGACTTAGGGATTTCTCATAACCTCTCACCCGGTCCTGCAGCTCATCTAGATGATGACAAAGCTACTCTCCCTAATGTTTTCCCCAGTATTGCTCTTTGAAGAAGCCAGAGTAGGATACTGACACCTAGTAACCAGCCTGAGATGTAGCCTGTTGGCGATAAGCAGACGTGGCAGCTGCTGGTTATCTCTGTGACAGATAAGGCCGCAAGAAACATCCGGCAGTGCCATCTGACCCCGTCCTGGACCTGGGCTCACAAAGGCAAAATAGTTGCAAAATAGTCTCCAAAATGGAGTTTAAATTTGATCAAAACATAAACTGGTGAATGACCCTTGCAGTTATAAAAGATAGGCAAAAGGTAGTCACCCGAACCCACTATCTGATTACTCAGGCCTCACCTGTCAGAATGGGAGCAGGGAAGAGGAGAAATCTACATGTCTCACTGAACTTGACAGTAGTGCAGCCTCTGGAGCTGTTCTGCCTCCTGGCTTCCCCCTGTTCCCAAATGGGGGCTCATCGAGTTTGGGGATATAGTCATGCCATTCTGCCTCATAACATGTGCTGGTCATCAGAGGCCCCTGCTGGTACTTTTTGCGGAAAGAGGCCACCCTCAGTTTGCCACGATGATCTCCAGATTGATTGCTGAGAATGGGTTCCTCACACTTCAGCTGCCGGTCCTGCGCATTAGCCAGCCAGGCGTATGGGTACAGGCCTGTGCCCTGGGAGGCCCAGAGTGCACAGCACCAGAGAGAACTGTGCTGCTGCTGCTGCTATCATTGCCTTTCATGTTGACCACTAGAAAATGGTGCCATTCCCTGTATTTAGGGTCCTTTCTGCTGGGAGCATCCAGGTCTGTCAGGACTAAGGTGTAGAGTTTACCTGCATCAAGGCCAAACTGCACAACACTGGTGGGCTGGTTCTTAACCTGGGTGGGCGTCAGCACTTTTCTGCCGCTCTTGTCGACCTTTGCTCTGGCACATTTGACCCACAGTGGATGCTGCAACCGCTTATCCACTTCCTGCAGGCTCAAGGGCCTGGACCACTTGCTGAGATCCCCTGTCCTGGGGGTTGGGGGTTGCTGAGCCAGGCAGGTAGGAGACAGAGCAGCTAGAAGCTTAGGTGCCTCTAAGGAGTACGTTTCCAAGTGCCCTCTCATTGGTGCGCCAGTTGTCCTACTTACATCAACCTTAGTAAAGTAGACCCAGTGAACTCAGGGCATGTGTTTTTTTGTCAGAGTAAATTTGCAAATATAGCCAGTTAAGTCTTCCAGAAGCAAGGAAGGAGAAAAATATACTACTGCATCATTTCAGCAGCTCTAACAAAATGAACCTAAAATCAGATTTGTTTTCCCTTTTTGGCTTCTGCCAAGAAATAAAAATGGAGAGATTCTGACTGTATCCACTGCATAACCTTTAATTACTATAGTGATTAACAACCACCACCTTACCTTACTTCCTCCGGCCTTTCCGTTTGCTATTTCTCTGCAAATGGATCAGAGAGGTTAGTAACACCATGGCTTCAAGAGGAAGCATCTGATTCTCGGTTGCTATGGCTTCTGTCCTCTGTTTGCATCTGTTGCTTGTTTCTGTGTGACCATCACCAGTCAATCATTCAAAACTCTCCCTGGCTTTTTCATCCTACCCTCAAGGGCCCTCTAGCAATTCCAGCCCATGTTCAGCTACTTCCATAATGTTCTCAGGGGTACAGGAAAAATTTGGATCTTGTCATGAGGAAATGACAAGAGACATGGGAGGTGGTCTCAATCTAGACCCTCACTCTAGACCCTTCTAAATATGTTCCCGTTCCCACTTGACATGACACATCATGGATAAATCTTAGGCTCTTTCATCTCTTTTCAGAGTCAAGTCTAGACATAAAGCACGAGACTCTGATCTCAGATCCCCAAACTCATGTGATGAATTTATCATGGCCTGCTGGGGCCAGTTCATGTGGACTCAGTTGACTAGAGTCAGTTGTGTACTTTGTCGTTTTCCATCAGCCCCACAATCAGTGGTTTCTTGGCAACTTGACATTGGCCATGCATGATGGGGGCATTTACACCAAGGAAAGTGGCAGATATTACAAATCAGGTTTGTTTTTTTTTCTCTTGGTTAACCATCTGTTAAATGTTTACCAGCACATGACTGCCCAAACCCACTTCATGACTTGATGGGGATGGGGATGCAGGGGTCACAGATCTCCTTCTCAAGGACACACCAACACTCTGAGTTATTCTCAACATCTCTCTCTCTCTCTCTCCCTCTCCCTCTCCCTCCCTCTCTCCCTCCCTCCCACTCCCTTCCCCCTTCTTCTCCCTCCCCCACTTTTTTACCTTTTCTCTCAGTTGCCAGCCATAGAAACATGTAAGTATAATGCAGTAGAGTTCTCATCAGGAATTCTTCCCAAACCTACTGTTTAAAACTCCTAGTTCCCACCTCCACACATTCTAATTTAATTAGTATGGGTACAGCCTTGGCATTAGGGATTTTAAAAACTTGCCAGGTGATGCTAACATCACCTTGGGAGCAAATGTTTTAAGGCACTGGTTCTCCACCCTGGCTGCATATTAACATTATCTAGGTGGTCTAAATATATAAATAGTTGTATGATATATATTATAGCCCATATAGCAATATGTATTGATATGTATTGAGTATATGGATCTGTTGGATAAACTCTTAAATATAAATCTCAAAATCTGTGAGATGCCATGTCTTTCTGTTTTCCTGCTGTAACCATCCTATCTAGTGACCATCTGGATAGAGAGATTTCCCTACTGCTTGAAAGGTGCCAGGAAAGAGGTAAATGTGGATTCCCATGAATGAATAACTCAGGAATCACTATCTAAATATTAGTCCACTACAAGGATTTAAAACAAAGCTTTTTAAAATTTGACTCACTCATTTTTTTGTTTTTTTGTTTTTTTTTTTTTTTTCAGGAGAAAGGGAAAATGAGGTAATCCTTAGATTGCATCATTAGCTCAGACTGCTATAACAGAATGCCATAGACTGGGTGGCTCAAAAACAACTGAAATTTATTTATTAACATTTCTGGAGGCTAAGAAGTCCAAGATTAAGACACCGGCAAATTCTCTGTCTTGTAAGGGCCACTTTCTGATTCACATATGGTTCATATATGGGTGTCCTCACTTGGCAGAAGGGGTGAGGCAATGCTCTGGCATCTGTTTCATAAAGGCACAAATCCCATTCATGAAAGCTCCACCCTCATGACCTCATCACCACTCCAAGGCCTCACTTCCTAATACTATCACTTTGGGGATAAAATTTCAACATATGACACAAACATTCAGACCATAGTGCTTGGCTACTGCTTTTTTTGTTGAGTCATTTGCTTTATACAGTTTATTTTTCACTGTTTTAATTTTTTTTTAGAAGCCAGGTCATTGTATCAATATTTTGCAATGAGTCTCTATAGGGAGGTTAGAACAATTACTTTGTAGCCAAATCATTTTAGTTTCTGGAAGCTTGTTCCTTTGCAATGAAAAATCAAATCCTGTCCAGTTTTGTGGTTTTTGTTTGTTTGTTTGTTTTGTTTGTTTTACTAACAACTCATATATTGTTTTTATCATCTCACAGCCCAGTGAACTCCCAAATCACTTCTCCCTACAAGATATTTCTTCTCCCATTGAGATTTGCTTCAAGAGTGTATCCAACAGATCCATATACTCAGAGATGGTGGTGGTGGGAGTGGTGTTAGTAAAAACACTTAGTTACAATGCCCTTATTTCAGTGTGATGTTGAGATCTAGCCCATAGATATATTAACATTCCCACCTCAGCTAAGTCACTTGGCAGATATTACAAGTTCTAATGTAAAGTGGGAAGCAGGATTTTCAGGTCAGACTAACATGGATTTGAATCACACCTTTGCCACCAAATAGATAGGTGACTTTGGGAAGTTATTTATCCTCTTGGGGCCTCACTTTCTGTCTCCATTAATCAAAGATAATGATACTTTTCTTAGAGGGATGTTGCAATAACAGCTAATGTATTTAGAGCCAGCCACTATTAAATGGGGCTTTTAATTATTTTCAGGACTAGGCTTAGCCACATGGCCATACCACATATTGTATTAATGTGAATGTCTCACAAGCAGAAACAGTGAGCTTTCATTTCCCCTTTTTATTTTAATACATTAGCAACCACTAACCTATAGCTAGCATTTTATATATCATGGATGTGATAGAGGTTGTAATAAAGAAGAACAGAGAGCCCAGAGAAAGGAGTGGAAAGTGTGCTATACTGATTATCTTTTTTAAAAAAGATTTATTTATTTATACAAGAACTGGGGTACAGGTCAGACGCACAGGGTTGGGGGTAAGAGAATTCACCAGAGAGAGCAGGGAGCAGAACAGGAAGACAGACTGAAGACACTGCTGAGGGGAGCAGCGGGTGAGACAGGAGAGGTCTGCCGCGCCATGTGGGTATCTCCCTGGCCGGCTGGGAACGAACCCAGGCTGCAGAGGCTGTGGGGGAGCCTACGCCACCAGGGAGGCCCTATACTGATTATCTTCATTTTCATTTTCAAGTTCTCATTTTTCAAACCCTCCAAATTGCCATTAAAAATTAATATACAAAGGGAAATTTGTTCCATTAGAAAATGACTTGGACACCAACCTCAGTCTTATTTCCAGAGTTCATCATTTGTCAGATCTCCTCTAATTCTCCCAGCAACGTGGGAGGCTTCTCTTCGGTGTAAGAGTTAGTTTCTTATCCTCTGTGCTCCTTCAGCTGCACCTTGTTTTTGCGTCTACGGAGCATGTTTCATGTTTTAATCTAAAATTTTCCTTCAGAGATTTCTCTCTTCCGCCCATCCCTGGTGTTTCTCGACCTCAGTAGTACTTTGGAGTCACCTGAGAAGCTTTAAAATATACTAAAGTCTGGGTTCTAACCTCAGATATGCTGATTTTATTGAAATGGGGGTACAACTTGGTCATGGGGACTTTTTAAAGCTCTCCAGGTGACTATAACCTACAACCAGGGTTCAGACCCTTTGGCCAACATCCTTCCTAGACTGTGAACACCATGAAAGCAGTAACTGTCATACTCAATCTTATGTCCCTGGTGGATAATATAGTGGTTGGCACAAGATTGCTCAATAAATGCTAGTAAATATTTCAGATCCTACCACTTCTCATTCTCTCCCAACCATGGAAATGATCAGGATATCCCTAACATTCTGGTCCTATGCCCTTGGATCCGGTGACCTCAGGGACTCTTGTAATTAGATTCTAATGTTCACTAGTTGACTTGGGCACTAGCTAATGATGACATCGCAACTCTTCCCTCAAATAGTAAGTAGATATAGAATAATTACATGTCATTTAGAAGACTGTCATCAACCCTGCTCACAAATAAGTGACAATTCCCTCCCCGGAAATGCTTCATGGAGACAAAAGTAACACTGCAGTAGAGCTACTTCTCAGTGGATGATCATGTCAGCCCATCAATAAACATGGGGACACGAAACTTACAATATCCATGGCAATAGCTATGCTTTATCATTTGTTTCATCTGGGACACATTTACTGAATGCATAACTTATATAAGGTTCTAAGGTAAATGGTACAAAAAAATATAAGGAAGCTTTGCTATAATAAAAGTGCAAGTATCCGGCCTCCTGGATATAACAATATTGCATAGCACACTAAAGCATAAACTTTAGCACATGCTAAACTCTTTACTTAAAAGAGTCTTGTTCATTTCCTGAATGTCCAGTAAACTCACAAAGGTGTCCAGTCCCTTCTCTTTCTTTGCCATGGTTACAGCAAAGTCTAACACTTTGTTTCCATATCTAAAACCAGCTTCATAGGAAAATAAGTTATTACTTTCCTGGGAATAATTTAAGAAGTTCTAGAAAGATCTCACAGCCAAAAAACACCTACATTCCTCCCCCACATCTGAAATTCCAACAATTGAGATTCTTCTGTTCCTGATATCCTGCCGGGAGGAGTAGAGAAAACTCTCACAACCTAATTAATTTATCGGCTGCTTTTTATCCCATGAAGAATGGGAGAAGGAGACCCAACTCAGTGAATGTTTGGAGGAGAAGGTAGACAGAAATGCCTGGAAAACCAATTTCCCCATCTCCATATCCCATTAAGGTCGGTCCTAAACACTGCCCCATTTTTGTTTGG